AGACCCTTGAATAAGTGAGCATTTCTGAAGAAGGGTCTAGGCCCGAAAGGTCGGCCGCCTTGCTCCTCTGATGCTGCTTGGCCTGCTGTGTTCATCCAGCTCTACACCTTGTTATCTCTGTATGAAAGGTAAGTGCTGATTAGTTGCCAAGTGGATTATGATTGTGGACGCATTGCAATAGAGAATGCAGCAGTTAATAAAGAATTATAGTTAACTGCCAGACTTCGCTCAAGTGATAAACCAAGCAAGTTGACTCTGAAATATGACAAGTGAACCAATAAAATGCTGTCATCTATTTGGTCGAGTTGAAACTGACACAGTGCATGTAAATATTTTTTCTGTCTGCAAAGAACAGGCCCTACGTATTCATGTACATAGCTTCTGGTACACACCACACTGTAGGTTTGGCTGACAATCCTAAATTGGTTGTCGGTATAATTATAGGCAATCCAGATTACCCAATAGATGCTGTCAATTTGCAGAAGTAGATCGAATGTTGAACACCTGTGGAGTTTTGCAAGTGTGTGCTGTTCGATATGGTCCTCCAGTCTTTGGGATGTTATGCACTACATTTCTAGCATCAGACCAACACTGAAATTTATGCGCCATCTTATTCATTTATGTGAGAGGCATCTTGCAGCATCTTGTTTATTGTGAATGTGGTAAAGTACGTTTGTGTGGGCTGAAAGCTACATATTAACACACAAGGCCCTGTTCTTTGTGGCCTGAAAGAACATGTAATTACAGCATTTAAAAGGCATATGGTTGGGTGTATGAATAGGAAGGGCCAAATGCTGACAAATGGTACTAGATTAATTTAGGATATCTGGTTGGCATGGATGAATTGGACTGAAGGGTCTGTTTCTGTGCTGTACACCTCTATGACCCTATGACACTATGTACATACTGTCATTGAGTAATACAGAATAGAAACAGGCCCTTCAGCCCAAACTGGTCCACGCTGACCGTGGTGCCCACTCAGATAGTTCCAATTGCCTACATTTGGTCCATATTCTTCTAAACCCTTTCCATCTATGTACCTATCTAAATGTTTCTTAAATATTGCTATTGTACCTGCCTCAATCACTTTCTCTGGCAGCCCATTTCACATACGCACCACACTCCGCATGAAGAAGTTGCTGCTCAGGGTCCTTCTTAAATCTTTTCCCTCTCACCTTAAACCCATATCCTCTAAGTTTCAATTCTCCATCCCTGGGGAGAAAGACAATATGCATTCATCCTGTCTATGCCCCTCATGATTTTATGTACCTCCAGAAGGTCACCCCTCAATCTCCTACATTCCAAGCAATAAAGTCCTATCCTGGCCAATCTCTCCCTATAACTCAGGCCTACTGGCCCTGGCATCGTCCTCCTAAATCTTCTTTGCATACTTTCCAGTTTAACTATGTCTTTCCTATAACGGGGTGCCAAAACCATACACAATACTCCAAGTGCGACCTCACCAAGACTAATACAACTGTAACATAACGTTCCAACTCCTATACTCAATGCCTTGACCGATGAAGACCATACCAAATGCCGCCTTCATCGTCCTACCTACCAATGATGCCGCTTTCACCAAACTATGTACTTGTACTCCTATGTCCTTCTATACCACAGCACTTCTCAGGACCTTACCATTTACTGTATAAGCCCTACCTTGATTTGACTTTCTAAAGTGCAACACCTCAGGCTTATCTGTATTGAATTGCATTTGCCAATCCTCAGCCACCTCCCCATCTGATCAAGATCTGTCTGTAATTTTTGATAACCACCTTCACTATCAACGATATCTCCTAATTTTGTATCATCCGTAAACTTACTAATCCTGCGTCGTACATTCACATCCAGATCATTTATGTAAATAACAAATAACAAAGGTCCTAACGCTGGTCCCTGTGGCACACCACTAGTCACAGGTCTCCAGTCTGAGAAACAACCTTCAACCATCACAATGTGCTTCCTACCATCAAGCCAGTTTCGAATCCAATTAGCTAGGTTTCCCTGGATACCATGCAACCTAACCTTCATGACTAGCCTGCTGTGCAAGACCTTATCTTCTGACCGATGGAACATGCAGGTGTGGCTTGGAGTGTCCTCTCATTCTTTCAAAGGTAATAAAAAAGTTAGAAATATTTTGCATCTTTGACAGCTAATTAGGTACATTTACAATGTAATAACTATACCAGAAAAGCAAGAACATTTAAGTAATCCTTCAAATTGGAAATTTTGTATACATGCACTACTCTTCTTTTAATGCAATAAAATAACTGACAGCCATTTGCTGGTTCATTTTTCGGGGCAATATCTTGATCAACAAAATCACCTGCCTGGTTAAATATTTATGTAAACCCTGGCTGTTACTGACCATCATCATTAGCTGGTGCATTCTCCATGGCAATGCCTCTACCAATCAGATTCCATTTGTCAACCAATTAACACTCTTATTATCCATTTTCAATGTTGTTTTCTCCTTAAATTAGTATGTGGTATGTTTATGAATTCTCCTGATGCGCAAAACAAAGGACTGTCAACAGATGCCTTTCTTAAAGCAATATGCAAGTTACCTATTTTTCATCAGATAGCCCTGTGGCATCTTTTACCAATTTTTTTTTTCCTTTTGTTTTTCCCTTTATCTTTAGCCCAAGTGGCTCAGTGTTGGCCTGCATCGAGCAAGTCAAAACATATCTTCTCACCGATGGAACATGCAAGTGTGGCTTGGAGTGTCCTCTCATTCTTTCAAAGGTAATAAAAAATTAGAAATATTTGACATCTTTGACAGCTAATTAGATGCTATTAAGATGTATTAACTATACCAGAAAAGCAAGAAAATTTGAGTAACCTTTAAAATTGGAAGCATTGTATGTATTATATTACCAAAGCTTTACCGAAATAGGTTGATTGAACAGCATATTTTCATAGTTACATGATGTGGTAGAACCAGCTATTTTTTGATAAAGTTGTATGGTTCTTGCAACATTTTATTGCAAATGCATTCTTCATATTGTCAGAATAATAATTCATACGAATACTTAGGATCTTCAGTTACAGCATAAAACCAAGATTGGACAAGAAGGAATAATTGGAAAGGGAGGTCCTGTCTCTCATTATCACAGCATTTGGGTGCTAAAAACAGTCCAATCTTGATTATGTCCATGAAGGTTAGTTAGACGACAATCAACTCTTGCAGTCAGGAAGAAATGCAAACATTTTTTTTTTTTAAAATCAACTGTTTATATTTATTGCAGAAAATGCAGCGCTCACGCATGAAATACTCATATTGCTTACAACTATTTATCCAATATGCTCAAGGATTGCAGCAGTTAAGGAGGCAGCTCACCACTATTTTCTCAAGGGCATTTAGGGATGGGAAATAAACTTTGAGTTAGTGAGAGATATCCACGTCCCATGAATCAATAAGCAAACATGTCCAAATAAGAATCGTTGTCAGCGAATTAATGTAGGAAAGATCAGAGAGGCATCATATACTTGAGAACTAAAAAATCTTTCATTATTTGGTTAAAAGCCTTGTTAATTCCAGACTACCTTCCCTATTGTTGATAGCAGTTGATCTTGCAGAGAGAGTGGTCGAACAAATTAAGCAAATATTATTTTTCATGTTTTAATATTTTCTATTTCCTCAACTAGTGAATGCTATGTATCCTCTCTCAGTATGAGCCTTCAGGTATTTTTAAAAAAGGGGTGTTTTACACAAAATTGCATCTGCGTTGGAGAAGAGGAATATTGCATGAATGCTTGTACAGGATTATATATTGCATAAAGTGATAGTGCTCTGAAATTTACTTTTGCCTTCAGTAAGTTGCAGATCCAACCCTAAATTTGGAACTTGTAATGCAGAAGTGCTGTATTGTTTTTAGGTGTTTACTTTTGATCCTGGAGCGACTGTAAAGCAAAGAACAGCAGAAGATGTCAAAGCTGATGAAGATTTGACAAAACTTTGCATTCATAAACGGAAGATAATTGCAGTAGCTACACTACATAAAAGTATTGAGACACCACATCCTTCCCTGCTTCTAACCAGTCCAGGGGGTGGAACAAGTAAGTCTTCGAAAGCTGAATTATTGTCTAGCTTTTATCAGAGTGTGAGGATTGTGAATAGAATACATGAAGACGGTGCCGATAGACGACTAGTTGATTTTAAAACTGAAATAGCTAGGTTTTCTTTTCTACTTGAAGGGTAATCAGGAGTATGGGCTATGTCCAGTTTGGATCTCACCAAATGAAGTAACCGGCTTGGGATTAATTAGTCATAGAATTGTACAGCACGAAAACGGACCCTTCGGATCAACTCATCTATGCCAACCAGATATCCTAAATTAATTTAGTTCCATTTGCCAGCATTTGGCCCATATCCCTGTAAACCCTTCCTATTCATTTACCCATCCAGAGATGCCTTTTAAATGTTGTTGTTGTACCCGCCTCCACCACTTCTTCTGGCAGCTTGCTCCATACATGCACCACCCTCTGCATGAAAAAGTACCCCCTTTAAATCTTTCCCCTCTCACCTTAAACCTATGCCCTCTAGTTTTGGACTCTCCCACTCCAGGGAAAAGACCTTGGCTAGTCACCATATCCATGCCCCTCATGATTTTATAAACTTCTGTAAGGTCACCCGTCAGCATCCGCCGCCACAACTGCCACCTTAAACTGCCATTCCCTCCACTGCAGGTAGTGACAGTTTATGGAGTCTACAAAATGCACAGCAGCAACTAACCAAGTCACCTTCGACAGCACCTTCCAAATCTCTAACCCAACAACACAAAGGCAGCAAAGGCAAGGGAATACTGCCACCTGCCAGTTCTCCTTCAAAGATCATCCTGTCTAAAAGGTTATTGAGTTGGATGATCACTCGTGATCATAATGAATGGTGGAGCAGAGTCAAAGAGTGGAATCAGCTATGGAATCGGCTATTCCCAATCCAGTGTCCTATGTTTCTCTGTCTGACCTGAAAAACCTGGAACTCCCTTTCTAATATCCTTTCCTCCCTCTCTCACTAAATAGTCTGTAGCAAGTCAATAAAGCAATTCACCACCACCACCTCAAGAGTAGTGGGAATGGAAGACAAATGCTGGTCTTAACAGCAGTGCTGGTGTCCTGTGAATGAATATAAAAAACATGTCATGACAGCCAGACCCAATCCTGTCCTGAGCTGGTAACTGTGCACCCAAATTCAAATCAGAATTGTTTTCCAACAATGAGAGTGAAAATCACAGCTGTTTTTTGTTTTCTCTGTACCCCTGACTTAAATGTCATTTGCTGCAGTTAATTGTATCACCTCTCTTTGCATCCCCTTTGCTGCAGTGTATTCCCAGAGGAGGTAATTTATTCAAGAACTAAATACATTTGCTTGAAAGGAAGCTGGCTGTTTAGAATTATAGAGGTACAGTTGTTTTTCAGGACAAAAAGCATAACATTCCTTTAAAGTAAGGATAACAATGTGGTGAAGGTGGACTGTGATTCTTGATTGAGTTTTGTTCCTTTGAAAATTATGTCCTTCCATACAATTCACCCACCTTTCTGTTTTGTTTTAAGGTGGAACTCCCACGGTGCAGTCACGGGCCACAACTCCGAGAGCAATGAGGAATAAATCACAAGAAGCAATGGTAAATTCTACGGTGCCAGACTACAAGAATACGTTTCTGCCTAAATTGATGGCGGGAGGTTCAAATGCTGTGACACGGCTGTATCAACAGGAATTATGTGGAAGTCCCCAGCAGGAGCTTCATGGTTATTCCAGGCAGAGACTGGGTAGCAATGATCAAGGGCAGAAGTCTCCATACCGTGGAAGCCATGGTGGTCTTTCCAGCCCAGCATCGTCAGGATCACAAATCTATGGTGATGGTTCTATATCTCCTAGAACTGATACAGTGGGAAGTCCTGATGTGTTTACGCGAAATAATCCAGGATTTCATGCTGGGCCCAACTCTAGTCCTATTCACATCAATAAAATGCCCCATTCCCCACCAACTGTTCTGATGCAAAATTCTTCATCCCATTCATCCTGTGCTATGGCTGGTAGGACTTCTATACCTCTTTCACCAACAATGACTACAAAAAGTCCTGTCATGAAAAAACCGTCTTGTAATTATTCATCAAATGTTGATATGCCAAGAATTATGTTTCATAAACCTCCCCAAGGAGCCCCAACATCATGTGCTCTCCAGAAAAAGCCATTACCCTCTGAAAAGGATCCATTAGGCATCCTTGACCCCATACCAAGTAAACCTAATCCAGTACTTATGAACACATCTAATTTCCCAACAACCATGCACTCTCAGGTACCTATGATGAATGTAAACATGCCTCCTGCTGTTGTCCCTTTGCCAAGCAACCTACCATTGCCAACAGTCAAACCTGGCCCTGTAAACCATGGAACCCATGTACCACGGGTCCAACATTCAACTTCCACTTCTGTATCTCCTGCACCTGTCACCTCACCTGTACACATGATGGGACCTGTAATGGGAAGAATTGAGGCATCACCACAGAGGTCAAGGTCATCTTCAACATCTTCTGATCATGGAAGTTTAATGATGCCACCTTCAGGTCCTCAATCAAGCTGCAGTGGAATAAAGGTTCCTCCAAGGTCTCCTAGGTCATCTATGGGTTCTCCACGACCATCCATGCCATCCAGCCCATCCACCAAGCCTGAAGGGCTTCTTCATCAATATAAAGATATTCCTAATCCATTGTTGGTTGGAATGAACAATGTTCTGAATCCTCAAAGTAATCCTTTGTTTCCATCTGTGTCTGTTGGAAATGTACCACAGCAAAAGGGTCAGCCAGGTTTGCTTGGAATGCCCTTAAATCAAATTTTGAACCAGCATAATGCTGCCTCATTTCCAGCAAGCAGTTTACTTTCAGCAGCAGCCAAAGCACAGCTAGCTAATCAAAACAAACTGTCTGGTAGTAACAGTAGTGGTGGAGTTGGCAGTGGTGGCAATAGTGAAGGACATAGCACTTTAAATACCATGTTTCCTCCAACTGCCAACATGCTTCTTTCCGTTAATGAAGTTCAGAGTGGACGTGCGGCTTTGAGAGACAAGCTCATGGCACAGCAAAAGGATCCTTTAAGGAAGCGGAAACAAGCAACCCCTACAGTATTGAGTATGCTAAAACAGTCTCAGATGGGCAGCTCAGGAGTCCCAAAGTCTGTGATTGACTCTCTAAGGAAACAAGGACAAAATTCCTCCATAACTATGAATAATACCATGTCTCAATTACTTCAATCTATGAGTTCACAAAGTTCTCAAATAAGTGGCAATAGCAGCACTAGTTGTGGTAGTTCCACTACAGGTATTTCTGGTTCCTCCAATCAACATAGCTTCTCAAATACCAGTCTGAACTCAGGTTCCATTCATAACCTATCAGCTCAAAATTTAACAAGAGGGGAAGGTATTTCTTGCCAAAATACAAGTACTAATTTAATCCACAGTTGTCAGGGCCCAAGCAATCAATTTGTTGGGTTAGTTGGACAGCTCCATGGTAGTGGAAATTGTGGGCTGCTTCATCAGTCTGCAGTGACTTTGGGAAATAATTTGCATTCTAACCATCATTCAAGAATTGCAGCCTCTTCAGCAACAATGGTACCAAACAGCAGTGGCATTTGTAGCCAAACCAGTGCTGACACAGGTATGGTTTTACAGTGATGAACTTTTCACTAATCCATTGTTTTGAGAATCTGTTTCAAACTTTAATTTTAGGTACATGTATAATTTTTCATAAGTATTTTGCAATTTTATCACCAGGATTATGGTGTATCTTGTATCATAAGGTTTCATTGAGTGCTGTTCTGTAAATTACAAAATGTAGCAGATATGTTCATAATTGGGTAAAATGATTTTTGTCTACTGTCAGTGCAAAGATTTCTCTTTCACTAAAAAAATACAAGTAGCCAAATACTTAGGTTGGTTGCAGAAAATTTATGTATAACTTAATTGTTTGTTTCAAGATTACAACATGATGCTTCAGCCCTCTTGGTGCTTTAGCGATTGTGGTATTTCTCCTAGTTTTGTTACCATTCGTCTTAGCCGCCTCCTGACTGAAATATAAGTTAGAAGCTTGCTTTCTTTTTTAAATCCGATCTATAATGGTATGTGAAGATTACTTCCCTCTCCTCTTAGTATGATTTTGAGGAGAAAAATCAGATACATGGACAAACTTCAGTTTATTGAACAGAAATATTCTTGTTTCAATGAAGAATTGAGTTCACATTTTTTTCAGACTTGGAAATCATTTGGTGTTGGAAACCTGTTTGACAAAGTATCTTCCACAAATACATAGTACAAAAATTATTCTCATACTGGCCTTGATCTTCAAATAATAATTTATGCAGTGAAAAAAATGTAGATTTTAAATGACTATTTCATTATTTTAAATGACTATTCCATTATTTAAAAAAAAACTAAAATGCAAACTACTTGTGTACAAACTGAATATTCTGCCAAGCATTGTGAAGCATATGTTGTTTTGTTGGCAGATTCAGTTTACTGTATTCTAGGAGGGATGACTGCATTCTGACAAGTTTGCTAGGTAGCTGCATGATTTCTTTATTTGCAGCATTCTTGCTCAAACTGTTGGAATTTGTTTAGGATAGTTTGCAAGCTGGCTGGATTAAATTGAAGAAAGAAGATTGCAGTGTTGTGAAATGACAGACATCTGCATGTCCCAGGTTTCTAGCTCAAGGTGGCTGTAGAAAAAAAGCTGCACTAAAACTGGCAAAAATGAGAAACTGAATGAACACTTCATTTACAAACAGTGATTGCTTAGTTAAATTATAACTGCATGACAGGAGATGTAATAATTCCACTGAATAAAAGGAAATGTTTTTCCTTTGTTATGGAATTAATCACTATTTTGTATTTAAATACAGTTTGTTTTGTAACACTTTTTCCTCCATTTTCTTGCCCTCGTCAACGCTATCCTCTGTCAGGAGGGCAGGATGGTCCATCCCATGGACATCTCCACAGACGGCAACGTTGTTCTTTGGTCAACCTGTCAGGAGGTACGCTTGAGTGTTGTGGGCACAGGATCCATTTTCCTTTCCTGTCATCCTAATCAAATAAATAATTTTAACCAAAGCAAGAATCTGAAAAAAGACCTTCTATGTAGTCTTTATGCAAAATAGAAGAAGGGAGACCATGCTAAACGTGAAAATGTTGCTGAAACAAACTTGTAGCATTGTTAGATGGTTCACCAATTCCTCTCAAGAACCTTGTTTACGTGCTTTTCATCATTTTCTATTTTTGTTCGTTTTTATATATATTTTGTAAACAGTGTGGTGTATCATCCTTTCACCTCTAGACCAGGGCCTAAATTTAAATTATGGATTTGTAAATGGACAATTTTAAACTTCTCTGTTCATCTGTGGGAGCTGGAAGGGAAGTTTCTCTCTCTGTCTAGTAATGCGCTCTGTAGCATGCCCATTTAAAAATAAATTCCAAAATGCTAACTAAATATCATTAAAGAATCAAAACTGAAGTAGTTATTTAACCTAAAGTACATGGCTTTAGACTGAAACAACAATTCCTGAAATATCCTGGATTGTTTATCTATGGGTACATCCTGGGTTTAAGCAAGGTCAAAATAATACAGGTTGTTCATTTGTGTCAACAATTCATTCCTCCGATATGTATTCTGTTTCTGTCGTATAGAACACAATTCCTGTTTTATAAATGTGAAAATTTAAAACACAAAACACTACCTACTTCATCAGATTTAGGATTAAATTGCAAGACATGATATTAATTAAGATGTTGTGGTGCTGTCTATATCTTTCTGTAGCTGCTGTATTGCAATATAAATTCTAAAACTTAAAGAACAAATTTATTTAGCAGACTTTATAAGTCTACCATAGCAGGTCTTTCACTTGAGGTTAACATAAATGACAATTACATGAGTCTAATAAAATAAAGATTGTTGAAGATCGTGAAAAAGCAAGTTTTTTGTTAATGTTATTAATGACATCAGAAATTTCTGGTGGAGCTGATTTGCAATCTAAACCACTTATAAATTAAATGTCTCACTCAACCTTTTAATAATTAGTGCAGGTGATTTGTTTGCACTCACTATTAGCTCAAGCTGGTATTCTCATTGCCTCATGGACTTGCTGTGCAAATTGTAGAACATGGCAGTAAGGTCAAGAATCTGAGGACACCAACTTACGATGAGCAAAGGAAATAGAGATAGCATAAAACTTTTAAATTATTGCAGCAAATATATCTTGAACGCACTGCTTGAGAGTTTAAATGTTGTGTGTTCATTTGTGGCTTTCGAAAGGGAATTGAATGATTAAAGGAAAAGAACTGCAGGCCTATGGGTGAAAATGTTGTCGGAGAGGTGTGGGACTAGATTAGTGTTTTTTGTAAGGTGCTGGCAGGGACACTGGGCCAAATACCGTCCTTGTGTGCTGATTCTGTGTGCATGTTTGTATATATTTTTGTGGTCATGGAGATATACAGCATGGAAACAGATCCTTTGGTCCAACCAGTCCATGCCCAAACACGTTTCCAAATTAAACCAGTCCCACCTGCCTCCTTGGTCCATATCCCCCTCCACACCTTTACTATTCATGAACTTATCCAAATGTCTTTTAAACATTGTAACTTTACCTGCATCCACCACTTTCTCTGGCAGTCCATTCCACTCATGAACCACTCATGACCTTTTTTAAATCCTTCTCGTCACACCTTAAAAATGTAACCCCTAGTTTTGGGGACCCCACCCGCTTGGGTCCGGAAAAAATCCTTATCATTCACCTTATCTATGCACCTCATGATTTTTATAAAGTTAAGTAAGGTCACCCCTCAACCGTCTATGCTCGCAGCCTTTCCAGTCTGTTTTTATATCTCAAACCCTCCATTTCCGGCAACATCTTGGTAAATCTTTTCTGAACTCTCTCCAGTTTAATAATACCCTTCATTAATCTAACTTGGGTATTTTTGTCTAATCCCAATCTTATTGGTACAGACTAATGAAATTAGAAGCAAATAGCTTCTTCCTCAATTTCTTGAGAAATGCATCAAAATGAGTCTGGACTCAGCACTTAGGTAAACAGGACTGTGAACAGACATTTTTTTTCTGGATCATTGCAAGTATAACTGGAAATACTTTTAGTATGAGTAGGATATTTTGGTAATTTACATCAAATATCCTGATTTAGAGATATTAGAATATGCTGCAGAATGTAACTTACAAGGCATATGATAGAAGCCAAAGATACATTATTGCAAATGGCAATTCTAGGAAAATGTTGATTTCTTATTATTTAGGTATTTCGTTTCTAAAATGACATGATCATTCAAAAGAGTATTTACTGTGTAGACATTTTCACTAAGATTCCTTAAATATCTCTCCAAAAGATGTGCATACTGCTGGAATTGGTCACAATTTGTGAAGTCTGAGTGCTGAGACTAATTATCCCAATTTTCATTCACATAAGTGTAATCCTGATCTAACTCCTCATAAGCATTCAAACTGTCTTCAATACTCCTCTTGTACTTTTATAAAAATGATTTGACTGAAAGAGTGCTTTTATGCAAACGTCATCAAGTTTGAGGTTAAACATTTCGTGAGAGAATAGTTTTTAGTGACATGTAAAATTACTAATCTGCTCTTCATAGTGTTTTTGGAACCTTGAGTAAGTTTTTATCAACAAACTGAGGTCTGCCTAATTTGATACAGTAATTTGGGTATGCATTGTGCTCTGAGTCTACTGCACTTGATAACATGAGAAATGTACTTTACTGAAAGGACTGTTGTTTCTGGAACAGGAAATATAGCTCTTTTGCAAGCTAGGAAAAGCATTTGATTATGAGGCTTAATGACATTATTGCTGTTGTGAGTCAACTTTCAGCTTTTTGATTTAATATCCAAAGACTTGTATTTCTAAATGCCTTAGTCTAAACAGTGCCCAAAGGTGATTCACAGACAGCTAAAAGGAAAAATGGGTATCAAACAGACAAATACACAAGTGTTTTTGATATGCAAATTAAACCAGGTCAAGGATGGACTTTTTGCTTGTTTGTCATTTTCAAATTGTAGTTTTCCAATGATTTTGGATTATTAAGTTTCTAAATAATAAAAACATGCATCAGGTAGGATTGAATCAGAGATAGTAGGAACTGCAGATGCTGGAGAATCCGAGACAACAAGGTGCAGGGCTGGATGAACACAGCAGGCCAAGCAGCATCATAGGAGCAGAGAGGCTGACGTTTCGGGCCTAGACCCTTCATCAGAAAAGGGGGAGGGGAAGGGGGGTTCTGAAATAAATAGGGAGAGAGTGGGAGGCGGATAGAAGAGGGATAGAGGAGAGGATAGGTGGAGAGGAAACAAACAGGTCGAAGAGGCGGGGATGGAGCCAGTAAAGGTGAGTGTAGGTAGGGAGTTAGGAAGGGGATAGGTCAGTCCAGGGAGGACGGACAGGTCAAGGGGGCGGGATGAGGTTGACGCTCGGTTCGCAATAAACAACTGCACCTCCCAGTCGCGAACCATTTCAACTCCCCCCTCCCATTCCTCAGACGACATGTCCATCCTGGGCCTCCTGCAGTGCCACAACGATGCCACCCGAAGGTTGCAGGAACAGCAACTCATATTCCGCTTGGGAACCCTGCAGCCAATGGTATCAATGTGGATTTCACAAGTTTCAAAATCTCCCCTCCCCCTACTGCATCCCAAAACCAGTCCAGCTCATCCCTGCCTCCCTAACCTGTTCTTCCTCCCACCTATCCCCTCCTCCCACCTCAAGCCACACCTCCATCTCCTACCGACTAACCTCATCCCGCCCCCTTGACCTGTCCGTCCTCCCTGGACTGACCTATCCCCTCCCTAACTCCCCACCTACACTCACCTTTACTGGCTCCATCCCCGCCTCTTCGACCTGTTTGTTTCCTCTCCACCTATCCTCTCCTCTATCCCTCTTCTATCCGCCTCCCACTCTCTCCCTATTTATTTCAGAACCCCCTTCCCCTCCCCCTTTTCTGATGAAGGGTCTAGGCCCGAAACATCAGCCTCTCTGCTCCTATGATGCTGCTTGGCCTGCTGTGTTCATCCAGCCCTGCATCAGGTAGGATGCTGGATTTGTGACTGATAGTATCAGCCTCTGACCTTTGTAGATGACTCCCTCAAAAGCCGATGGGGAACATGTGAAGGAGTAAGAATTCTGTATTTCTGACCAATATCTTTGTCCCACATTCAGTGGCATCTCCTTCCCCCTATCATCGGACCCTAAGGAAAGTTGAGAGATCCAAGTTGCACCAGTAGGCTGCAATGTTCTAAGACTATGGAAGTAAAGAAAAACAACGCAAAGAGAAACCTTTCCTCTATGATCACTTTTAATCTTTACTATACCAGTAAATGGAAGCTAGAGAGATTAAAATAAGACGAAGAAATAACTTGTCTAACCTTACTGCGAAGGTTGTGTTCAATTTGTTAATTAACTATTTAATGGTGAATTATGAAAAAGTGCAAAAGCTAGCATTTCAATAATTGTTGATACAATGATGCTTCATTTCTAAAACTTGGTTAAACTAATGCATACAATTTATTTTTATAGTGTTGCGTATTTGTATAATTTAGGTGTAGTGTAAAATCATTTGGGACTAGCAATAGGAACAATATGAGCTATATCAGAGTTTGGGTTTCACCTGATCTGAATTTGATCTGTAAAACATCCCCTTGAATTGCTTTCACTTATATGACCACATAGCAATACAGCTAAAGAGAGCTTAACAAGGTTATATGTTTGATCCTGGTATTTATCATTAGAATGTATAATTTTAGTTGTGTATTTAGCTACCACTTAGCCAATTGCACCCATAACTGCTGTCTAGAAGAGCTAAACACTTAATCCATTCCTCTATCGTAGCCCTCTGAAAATTTTAATTAGTTTGTAATATTTTTTAAAAAAACATTCTGTGAATTCTTCTTCTACCATTGCTTCTGGCAGAGCGTTCCAAACAAAATCTTAATCTGTATTGCAAAACAGTCTACTTAACTCATTGACAA